GCCCAGGCTAACTACTGACTAGCTCTTACACTTAAACTCAGCCCATTTCTGTTAATCTATATGTCACCACCTGTTTGGAGCCTTTACTTGTATACTATTACATGCTGCTCCCTGGACTGCATGTTGGCGTCTCTTGAATCAGCCTTCCTCTTCCCAGAATTCTCCTTGTCTGCTTTTTTTGCCTATACTTCATGTCTGGCTACTGAACAATCAGCATTTTATTAAACCAGTGTACAAAACCATTATCCCACAGCAATCTAATATATAAGAGAAGAAGGTTTTGAAAGCTTGACAATATGTATATAGATGATCTTACTTACTTAAATTGTACCATGTAGCTTGTTGGTAATGGTGCATACCTTTAATCCTAGCACTCAGGAGGCAGATGCAGGTGTATTCTGTGAGTTTGAGGTCAGCCTGGTCTACAGAATGAGTTCCAGCACAACCAGACCTACACAGAGACACCCTGTCTCAAAAAGAACTAAAAAAATAGTACCATTTATATAAATTGGAGCCAATTTTTGTTTACAGAAATAAAATAATTATAGTACAAATGAAATAAAAGTTCTTAGTACAAGATAGGTAAAATATGTTTTTAAAAAGGAGATATGATTTTATTTTTTATTTTTATTTTTTTAAAATTTTATTTATTTTATTTTACAATACCATTCAGTTCTACATATCAGCCACGGGTTCCCCTATTGTCCCCCCTCCCACCCCCTCCTCTTACCCCCAGCCCACCACCCCTTCCCACCTCCTCCAGGGCAAATCCTCCCCCGAGGACTGTGATCAACCTGGTAGACTCAGTCCAGGCAGGTCCAGTCCCTTCCTCCCAGACTGAGCCTAGCGTCCCTGCATAAGCTCCAGGTTTCAAACAGCCAACTCATGCAATGAGCACAGGACTTGGTTCCACTGCCTAGTTGCCTCCCAAACTGATCAAGCCAATCAACTGTCACAACTATTCAGAGGGCCCGATCCAGCTGGCGGCCCTTCAGCCTTTGGTTCATAGTTCATGTGTTTCCATTCGTTTGGTTATTTGTCCCTGTGCTTTATCCAACCTTGGTTTCAACAATTCTTGCTCATATAAACCCTCCTCTTTCTCGCTAATTAGACTCCCGGCGCTCCACCCGGGGCCTAGCCATGGACGCCTGCATCCTGATTCCTCAGTCCTTGGATGGGGTTTCTGGCACAACTTAATAGTGTTTGGCCATCCCATCAACAGAGTAGGTGAGTCCCTGCTGTCTCTCGACCATTGCCAGTAGTCTTTTGTGGGGGTATATTTGTGGATCTCTGTGGGCCTCTCTAGCACTTTGCTTCTTCCTTTTCTCATGTGGTCTTCATTTACCATGGTCTCCTATTCCTTGTTCTCCCTCTCTGTTCTTGATCCA